GCGCAAGTCCCCCGAGGAGACTTTGTGCCCACAGGTACCTGTGTACTAAATAAACCTCTTGCTGTTGCAACCCGAAGGCTGGCTTGTCCTCTGTGGTTTCACTCTTACACTACTACCTTCAGAATAGTGCTCATCAAAGTGGTCCTCAGAGTTGGGGGGGAAGACATTGGCATGTGAGGAACCCATATTAGGTGATGTAGAGGGATGAGCCCTGCTGCTCTGGTGGGGATGGGAGACGACACCAACAGGGAAGTCTGAGGACTCACGAAAATATTGAGATCCGTTTTGTTGGACTCCATCTTGATGGTGGGATGTTTGGTGATAGGACTCGTGATGATGGTGGATTCCACTATGCCCTTGCCTCTGGGATGAGATTGGGGATGGTGACTGGGAGGGATGGACTTCAGGCAGCTTACTGGGGTGTGCTTCGTGGGGAGCCTTTTCAGTCTTTGAGGGGAGATCCATGACTATGCAGGAAATCTTAGAACAAAGAGATATCAAGAAAAGTCCCCTTTCTGGATTTCTCTTCTGTCCTAAAGCTGAGCTCAGTGACGACCTGGCTTCTGGAAAGGTGTGGCTATTCTCTTGGAATTCTTCTGTCTGTGATGTCACTAGCAAGCTTGGGTTTCATGGATTTATAGTTTGGAGTCACGAATCATTATGTCTAATCTCTGTTGTAAAATAAGGAAACTGAGGTACGGAAAACTGAAGCCCAAGGTTAGGATAGAGTTGGACCAATAAAAAGTTCATAGTGACACATGCTCCATCAGCAGTTTCAAACCTGCTGTAAAGAACACCATGAGGGACTGGAGAGATGGCTCAGTGGGTAAATGCTTGCCAGGTAAGCATGGAGAACCTGAGTTCAGATCCCCAGAGCCCACATAAAAGCTGGATGCCATAGCACAGGCATCTGTAATCCCTGGGTTCCTAAAGCGAGGTGGGAGGCAGAGACTCTCTGAGGCTCACTGACCAGCTAGGCTGGCATATGCAGTAATGAACAATAAAAGACTGTCTCAAGGTGGTAGACAAGGACAAACACCTGAAGTTGTCTTCTGACCTCCACCCATGAGCCATGGCATATGCATGCGCACATCTACACACATGAGCATGTGCACATACACACAAATCATGTGTACATCATACATGCATACACACACAAACAAAAGATAAGGAAAAAAAATCACTTCATGAGGACAAGTGATTTACTCTTCCATCCCACCTGGAGACCATTTGGCTCTGGGATTAAGACTGTCCACCTCCTCTGTGTATGTGACTTTGGGTTTAATTTTCCTGTGTCCCAGTTTCTTCTGTAAAATGGGAATGAAACCATTTATCCCCACAGGATCAAAAGCATTAATATGTATGAAGTTTATAGTAACAACATAATGAATATTCATTGATATAATTCTGTTCTTGATCACCGTTTTAAAAAAATATTTTATTTATTATTCTTTTTAAAAATATGTGAGTGTTTTACCTGCATGCATGTAAGTGCACCATGTGCGTGTAACGCCTTCAGAGGTCAGAGAGGGTAAAATATTATTTTTATTTTATGTGTGTGTTATGCCTGCATGTAGGACCTACTTCATACACATCCAATTTAATCTTCGCAATTGCCCCACAAGTGGGATGTAGTCACCCCATTTTACAGATAACAGTGTAGTGGTTCAGAGAACATAAAAGAGTTGCTCAGTAAGTCAAAGTTTAAATCAGCATTGTCTAACTTCACAATATCCAGCCCACAGCCATCATGCCCTCCTGGCTCCTAAAATCTACTGCAGACCTTATTTTATACTCTGAACTTACTTATGCATAGCACACAGCTTTTCTGGAAGCTTCCAGGGTCCTTCTTTGATGGCAATTACTTCCATAGCCAAGTCTGTAGAGAGTACAGGATGACAGGTTCCCAAGTGGCCAAGGAGATGCTGTTCTTTTAAGAGCTCCCTGTCTGGTACCAGTAGCAAATAAGGAAACAGTTTGTGGCAGGACTGCTGGTCACACAAGTCCTTCTTTTCTTCCTGGGTATCGAGGCTGACTCTCTCTGTCTCTGTCTCTGTGTCTCTCTGTCTCTCCCCTCCCTGCTGGGGATGGAACCCAGGGCCTTGCTCCTGCTAAGCAAACACTGTATCACTGAACTATATCCTCAGTCTTAGGGCATATCTCATGCATAGATGTGACTGGAAGATGAAGCAAAAGCAAATAAGCCATTTCTGGTCTGGGCTTCAAGCACTGGGCTTGTGACCCTCTGTTTCTCCTTCTCATGAACTGGCACACGGATGCAAGGACACAGCAGTCCGTTGTCCAGGGCACAGTCTTCACCTGAACTTTTGTGGAACCACAACATTCACCAAGATATTTCTAGGCTGAGGGCTCTGTATGGTGACTGAAAAAAAAAGTGCCTGGGTCTCAAACTTCCTGTGCCATGAGAGAAGCACTTTTATTTTTTTAATGTGTATGAGTGCTATACCTACATGTATGTAAGTGCACCTGTGTACCCATGTTGTACAGTGCCCACAGAAGGACAGAAGGGGGCGTTGGATCTCCTGGAACTGGAGTTACCAATGGTTGTTAGCTGCCATGTAAGGGCTGGGATTCGAATCCGGGTCCTCTGGAAGAACAGCTCTTAGCTGCTGAGCATTTCTCCAGCCCCGAGAGAAGCACCTTTGTTGATGGACAACCATCAAGTAGCCTCAGGAACCATTTGCTAAATATAGGTCTTTCAGCTCTGGTGGCATCAAATGGTGGGACTGTTGATTTAGTTGAGTCCTTTGTCAGTTTTCATATGAGATTAATATGTCTGTTGATATTTGTGGACATGTTTCACATGGGGAAAGAAGCATCCTCCTGCCCCTGAGCCATTGGCTCCCTGACCTCCCCCTATGTACCAACAACTCACTTATAGGGGCAAACAGGCTTTATTGGTATGATAGAAAATAAAAAAAAATGTTCCTTCTAAAGAAGTCATTTAGGGGTGGAAGAGTTGGCTTAGCAGTTCAGAACACTTGCTGCTCTAACAGAGGACTCAGGTTCAGTTCCCATGGCAAGCAACACCTGTCTTTAACTCTCGTTTCAGGGGATCCGGCACCCTCTTCTTGTATTGCATGACATTGGTGAACTTATATACATGCAGGCAAAACTCATATATATAAAATAATAAAATAAAAAGGAAGTAATTTGGGTTAGAGAGATGGCTCAGTGGGTAAAGTGTTGTCTGTGTAAGCATGAAGACCTGAGTTTGAATCCCCAGCACTCACATAAAAAGCGGGGTGTGGCCACACATTCATGTGTATAACCCTAGCTCTGAGGGGTGGAGATAGGAGGATCACTGGGGCTTACCGCCTGCCAGCCTAGCTCCAGGTTCAGTGGAGACCCTGTGTGAAGGGAATAGGTGGAGAGTAATAGAACAGGAAGCCCAACGTCCTTTGACCTCTGCATGCAAGGACACAGGTATGCACACACACACACAGAGCACACACACCACACACACATACACACACACACACACACAAATAAGGTGGAAAGTGATGAGGAAGACACTCAATGTTCTAAAATCTTCATATGAATCCCTCTTTGCATCAGGAACATAGGAACAGAGTCCAAACTGCAGTGGTTAGAGTCATAGCAGAATAGGAAGTTTCTTCTGGGGCTGGAGAAATGCTTCCGCAGTTCAGAGCCCTTGAAGCTCTTCCAAAGCACTGTTTCCATCACCCACATTGGGTGATTTCAGTTCCAGGGAATCTGGTGACCTCTTATGGCCTCCACAGGTATTCACATGCACAGCAGACACAAACACATATAAAAATAAACCAACACTGGGGAGGCAGAGGCAGGAGGATCTCTGTGAGTTCAAGGCCAACTTAGTCTACATAGTGAGTTCCAGGCCAGCTGGGACTACAAGGAGACCCTGTCTCAAAAAGACCAAAAAGACCAATAAATAAATAAATAAATAAATAAATAAATAAATAAATAAATAAATAAATAAATAAATAAATAAATAAATAAATAAATAAATAAATAAATAAATACTGGGTTTGAATTCCAGCACCCACATGGCAACTAACAGTTCCAGGGGATCCAACACTCTCTTCTCAACTT